TAATAAAACTAAAGACGACATGACTTCATAACGATTATTTACTCCCTCACAGGGGTGAACATGCTCTGTTTGCTCTTGAAACCATTTTTCATTATCAGTATTAACATGATGACAGATCTTCATAATTCCAGACTTTTGGACGATCAAATAATTTGTAAAAGTTGACTTTGGAAAAGAAAATGGAAATGATATCTCAAAGAAACAACCAAGAAAGAAAGAGTTGAAAATTGAAGGATGGTATTGGAAATTATTTCACACTTTTCTCAGAAAACAATGTGATAGTCTCGATAAATGAAATATATATGACTGCATTAGACCAACCATTTATGAAGGATGTGTGTATTCTGCCATTCTAATGTATAAGCTCTTTTGAACTTCAGATTTTCTTTTTTTCCTTGAAACTCCAACCCCCCCCCCCCCCAAGATATTTTTTTGTTCTCCTTTAAAAAACAAATTGATATTTTTAATTTCTACTTTTTATAATTTAGAACTTGGAAGTTACATGCATATAAACATATAACCCGTTTATTCAGGCCAAGCACTTGGGGAAATACAAGTGGCCACTGTAGACATGGGGCCCTTCTGGACAGGTCCTACAACACGCATTTCTTTCTTGAGGGAGACAAAATGCATGGTCTTTATTGACAGGTGGCCGCTATAGAGAGGTGGCCACTAAAGACAGGTTTGACTGCACCTCCTAAATACTTTCAATTAAAAGCACTAAATATTCCATTACCATTAATTTCTAGCTCACATGCCAGATAGCTACACATTAACCTTTAACATGAAACATGACTCACTGCAGAGCAGGCATGGGTGATGTTTTTATTGGGGTGCGTCACCAGCAGGGCTCCCTCGCTGTGTTGTCGACCTGTCACCGATGCTCACATGATCGTGGATAAAAGCTGAGAGTACAGTATCGTTGGAGCTCAAAGCTCTTCTCTTATGATTTTATTAGGAATGTTAATCTGATTGATTTGGTGATTATTTCACAACTGTCTGTGAATGCTTAAAACCATGGGATTTGTAGATTGAGACAATTTAACAGAGCTGTTCACACATAGATTGATTGGGGTGGGAGGGGGTTGGCTTAACATGAGTTTTCAAAATGCAATCACATCATATTCTCACTTTCTTTTTAGGCCGTCTTCATCAGCTCGAGTTTACCAAATAACCCGCAATTTTCAGATCGTCCCCCCCCCCCACCCCCCGGTGAAAATTTGTAAAAGTGCCCCCCAAAAAATGTATAGCAAATAGTGACTAAAGACTGCAACACACTTTTAAGCTCTGGAGGCCCAAGAGTGCAGCGTTTAGACTAATAAAAATGCAAAAATCCCTCGCATTTATATCCTTCAAAATGTACTATTAAATTTGTAGAAAATCTTGCATTTCGTTTCCCGCGGTCATGAAAAGAAATCGCTGCCCCTGCATGTACAGTACGTGGTAAATGCGCTTGTATAATGTGTGTGTGTGTGTTTGATCTACAGTTCTAATGATGGACAAATCTTTGATAACTGATTTCATGCCAGAGATCAATATACACCTCTGGTGTCAGATCAAGAACCCAATTTTAGTGTCAGATAAATACTACGCCTTTGGTGTTGACACCAAAAAAAAAACCATGCCTTACATGTACGTGCCGTAGGGCATTCACATAACACTTTCGGTGTCATTTTTTATGTCAAAATCAAATCCAGACACACATTTAAGTCCAGCTACACGCAATGTTTTTACCCTTTGATATTAAAAGGTTGCATGACACCATCTCCTTGATGACACGTAGGATGTCCAGCAAAAACCACATCTTTAGTGTCAGGTACAGGCCATGAAATTTAGTGACTGAGTAACGCTGGACAATGCTAGGCCGGTCTTCCCTTCCAGCTGTCGTATCCACACCACCAATTTTATCATCAATCTGGATATGAAAACTCATACCGTTTTCATATTCACTACTGAAGACCGAGTGTTGAGTCCGGATTTAATAGTGAAGAGCAAAAGACTATCGACCAGCTTAATTTTCATCCCTAATTATGCTATATTTCAGTTATGCCCAATGTTTGGCACTCCCACCATCCTGCTGTTCAACAATTGACACATCAACAGGGAGATCTCGGGCCATATCGGGTTGTGAGGGTTCCATTCACACTACAGAGCAATTGGGTCCCATCAAGACTAGGTCAGGGTTCAACCCTCATCTCAAAGTAAAATTTTCCATGAGTCAAATCAATTTTTTGACCAAATTATGCAAAACATGAGTACATTACACTTCCTCAGTCAAATTTTGCGTTCGTCAAACTTTATTTTTTGCTGTCCTAACAGATTTCACTTATCTAGTTCTGGGGTCTGGACAAAGTCCTGACTAGATCCCGATACAGTCCGGACTCGACCCTCTTCTACCCTAGTATGAAAGGGGCATGATCGTAGGTTAAGGATGGGAAGTGAAGGAAACCACAGGAAACCTCAAACCACAACTTATTCCTAGTCACCCCAAAACCTGGAGAGATCCTTTAAAGGCACAAGTAGTAGCAGGGACTTGCACTAGCGTTTTTTACAGCCTAATTTACATTTCATTTTCATATGTAGGAGCAATTCTGAAAGTGGACTTTGATCTTGAAGTCCTCCATGTCGAGGTTAAAAACTTGTACAGGGAGGGATAATTTTCATATTTCCCACCATCCTTCTGAAAAAAATGACTGATGAATTGTTCAGCATACCTGTCCCTAACCTGATGGAGGATGCTTGAAAGAATGGGAAAAAAGACAGGGACTGGGAGCACATTGCTCCTTTTATTTCTAAAAACTAGCCAAGAAAAATAATTTGGTTTGTCAATGATTGCAACATTTATGTAATGCATGAACTTTAATACAGCAGATGACTTTCAAGTACATGTACAAATGGCTCTCATACATGGGAAGCTTATTTTTTACCCTGCATGCAGTGCAGCTTCAGTAGGGAAGGGGGGAGGTGGCAAAATACGGTAGCCACTACAAATCACAGGAACATGACAGGAAGAGCAATCAGAGATTATAGGGAGGAGAAAAGTGCATAAAGACAGAGAAAGGACACTTTGAAGTTTGAACTCTATCTGCAGGAAATAGATCATAATGGCCTTGAACATGACGATTGTCGGCAGACCCCCGCGCCTAACGAGCATGTCCATTACAGTTCACGCCGGCCGACCGACCAGAGAGTACACATGGACCTACTTTCCCCCGGCTGCATCCAGCAGCTCAGCCAAGCCCCTTCAAATGTGTGAAATTAATACCCACCTGGCCTTCACCTTTAAATCCCAATAAGCCTTTTACCTGTACGTTCCATCACACCTCATCAACACTTACCCTTGGATTATGAAAACATTTTAAGAGGGGAGATCACCCAGATTATCTCTGCCGATTATCTTCCCTCAGCCCCTCTCCCGGGGCGCGCTGCTCGCGACAATTGTGGTTTTTGACAGCTTCCGCGGGATTAGAGCTGACATGGGACGGTCGCAAGGTGGATGCGGAGTGCTCGGTTACGACATGCGTAACATGAGTACAGCATTCATGTTTTTGTGGGTCGCGATACTGCAATGACACATGCTTAGTCGTCGAAACAGTAGCGCGAAAAATATGGTTTGGGTTCGAGATAAAGACCTAATTGTGGTTGAACTCTCTACTCGTGTAAATATTAAAGCGATATTTATACCCCCCTCCCCCTCCCCCTTCTGAAGGGCACTTAAGTGAAACATTTATACTTGCTGTACAAACGGTATGAACTAGTAGAATATCCAAGAATTAACATATTTAAGGCAATTTCGATAGCTCAGTGTGTCACCTTTTGGAATGTGCTAACATTGCAATGTCATACATGTACACATATGTACAAAATGGGTTTTCTATCTAAAGGCCATACAGTGCATGTACATGTATTATGCTATTGACAAAAGTCTTTGCAAATGTGTCTGTGATGATTACAAGAAATACTTGTACATGTACTAGACACAAACAGTTGACAACTAAACTATTCATACCCTTACCCACTTTTGTAAATTTTTAAATACCGTTACCTGTATGTGACAAATTTATTTGTCCAGATTTATATTGAGAATGTGACTCGTTAAACCTTACACCTAAAAGTATTCAACATAGGCCCTAATTCAACCAGTCCACCTTTCATTCCTGAGCTATGAAAAACACCAACAAAAACCCTCAGAGTTGCAAAGGATATATATTATTCATAGTCAACTCAACATGTAGAAGAAAAAAAGGTAATGGGCTATTAGGAGGCATCACACAAACTATGAAACTATGAAGAAATAGACACTATGGTTCCGTACATATCACAGTGGCCTTGGAACATGAACCTCCTTTGTTCGAAAAGAATTTGGTATGCTTATTCCCTTTTGTAAGTCCTCAATTCTAAACTGCAAAGTCTTTATCAAGTTCCACAGACGGTACCTGAAGCCCTAGACAAGGCTTCACAGGAACCTTTTCAATGGGCTTCTCTTCATCAGCTCGAGTTTGCCAAATGAACCGCTATTTTCAGACTCGGGACATTATCCCAAAGCTCGAAATCGCATCTTCACTTGACCGATTCGATCATCACAAACTACCGTAGTTCAGACAGACGCAAGGTAGCTCGCTATTCACATAGCGGGATATTTTGGAAACGAGACCAAGATTTCTCGACCAAATATCCCGCTAATTGCAACTGCGGGCTGATGATGACGCAAATTAACTGGTTAATTTGCGATCGGGAGATAGTTAGAATAGTGGGTTATTTGGCAAACTCGAGCTGATGAAGACAGGCCTACAGGAACTTTTTTGTTAATTTGTAGGGGGTCTGGATTGACATTTTTAGTGTCACTTATGCATGATCCATGAGCGATTTGTTAAAACCAAGGATCCACTTTTGTTTTTCCACAAAGATTCTGGATTGAAATTTACAAAGGTGTATCGGATTCCTGTTTTTAAAAAGGGGGAGGGGGGAATGGACCAGAATTAGATTTGGGGTGCCCATGTGACCCACGGACCTGCTAGCATCGGGCCCTGCTATAAAGTTCCATGGTTAGGTACTCAACAAAAACATGTGCTCATTGTTTCTCAGCAGTCACCGATCCTGTAAAACCATGAACGTCCGCATGCTAAGAAGATATCATCTGCTGAGAGTAAGAAGAGCATTAACCTATAAACTTTGACACAGAGTTTAACGTCTTTTTGTCGCTCAACAGACAATGCCTAAGAACATTGAAAAAAGAGAATTGATGGTACATTACCTTGTAGAGTAATCTAAACGGGTCTGGCTCGATCTTGTAGGGCACACGCGGGGCAACGAAAGGTCCAATTGGGTACGCTGCTGGATCAGTTTCCTAGCGAACACTCCCAGCACTGGAGAAATAGAGAACAAGAAAGATAAAACATAAATTAAGTAGGGAACATAAAAGTAGCTTTAAGTTCAATATACTCAATTTGAATCCCACCCCCTGTTTCATTAAATATGACATAGAAATGTAAATATGCTAATTAAAAATGAAGAGCATCTGGTAACATTCCCTGATATAAAAGTAATCCATACTTTAATAGGCTCTATGTCTTCATCAGCTCAAGATTGCCAAATATCCCGCTATTTGAACTATCCCGATCGCAAATTATCCAGTTACTTTGCGTCTTTATCAGCCCAAAGTTGCAATTAGCAGGATATTTGGTCGAGATAATTATCCCGAGATATCCTGGGCTAGTTTGCAAAATATCCCGCTATTTGTAAGTGCGTCTTCACCATCTCGAAGACTCGCTCTATGCGCGAGTGCTGAGCAAAATATCTCGAGCTAAAGTTTGAAGTTTTGAGGTCGAGGTTCGAGGTCGAGGTTCGAGGTCGAGTCTCGGGCTATTTGGCAATCTCGAGCTGATGAAGACATACCTAATGAGCGCCCAGTAGAGGCTCACACTGGCGCTAGACAAGAAACCATCAACATCATCATCACTTGAAATTCTGACGGCAGCAAAATTAGTAATCTCTCAAGGCAAAATAAGGAACAATCTTATGTCATACTTTTGTTACACATAACTTTTAACATAAAGAGAGTAATCTAGAGTTCATAAAGTCAAGTTGAAGGCAACAAAAATAGGGATAATTTCTCCAAAATAGGAATGGATGGCAGCTCTGCTAATCACATTTGCATACTTACAAATGAATGGACAAAGATGACCGAGATATATAAACAACATTGACTGCAATGGCAAGGTCGAATCCAACACCGTCCTAAACATATACCCCACGTACATTGAAGGACAATCGAGCATGGCTGTCCGCTAGACAGAAATAATCGATGCATGAAATATAAATACAGATTTCTTTAGGCTTTATATACAACCGTCCATTCAACCATCGCACTTGCCCAGATCTCAAACTCAACAACACCTTTAGAATTACAGAGTCAAGTGTAAGAGCAATATCTAGAGGGTCTATTGAAGTACGCAGACTGTACCTTTGTACAACCCCACCCCTGCAACAATGGGTGGACCGACTGAATATCAGATAAATACTTTTTTTTTTCCTAGAGCCACTATCTTGCTTGTTGCAAATATGGCATACATTCTGTAGAACTTAGCAGGAATTATGAACATGTCACGTACGTCCTATCTGTAAAATTTAAACGTTAACAGTGTCCTAATATTCTAATTATGTAAGGAAGCCCATTAATACTTTCTAGACTTCACTGTCAGACACTATTGAGTGACTGACTGACTTCTTTTTTTCTTTCGTAATAACATACATAAAATAGCTATAGAGGGTAAATGAGCATTTGTCTACATCAATAACGCACAAACTACAGACTACACTTAATGAAGAACCCAATTGCAACCCTAACCCTAACCCTATACTTTTGACAAAATAAAGCCCTTGTGAATGTTGGGAGTCAATACAAGAGTCTTCAAGGCCAGGCCAAGTGGAAGGTCCATGACAGGGGAGTGGAGGGGGTGGAGGGGGGAGGGTGGGGGGGGAGGGGGGGGGGGTGACTGGACACAGCCGCATGTGCCCCTCCCAAATAAGAGGACACTCTCTCTAATTTTCCTCTGCTATATGGATTTGTGACCCTCCCTTTGGCCAAGAAAACTACCATTTTGGACACTCTAAAAATTTGGTTAATGTTGACTATTGACTGCAATGGCATCATCTTTGGTTCTGAAATGCTCGTCATAAAGACTAAACACATGGTAGTTCCAAAAGCAGGTACACTGTACCACTGCTCTGTCTGTCACCTCCTCAGTGGTATGATTAGGGCTCCCTCTTTGTCTGAGGTTAGACATCCATCTTTCTGTTTTCATGTTACATGTGCAGGTCCTACGTGTACAGTATATCTAGTTTTATGCATTTGGTGAAAAAACATGTTTGGCATATAAAAAAATAAACAAAATAAAAACAATAGAGAAGCATATAAAAGATTACAAAATATATTTATTTTTGATTGTTTTGAAGTTTTGAAGCTTTATGGCGAATAAACCTACATGTAGTCAACAAACAAAATATTTTTCAGCATTCTCACGATATAAAACCAGGCCATGTGTAACTATAAATAGAATAGGCGATATCTATTCAATCAAATGTACAATAACTTGTCATGGTCCTATGGAAGTTGTTATAGAATCCACATATGCAATACAAATAATATATGTACCCACTGACCTGTAACCACATGTTCGACATAAAGTGAGCTTTAAATGGGTCTCATATTTGCCTTACAGATTTGATCATAAAATCAAAGCATATATCAAAATTATTCAAAGAAAGCGCCCAGTTCAAGAGTATGCACATTTATAACAAATATAGTGTACAATTACTTTGCCATGGTCCTATGGAACTTTCTATATAATCAACATACAAAATACCAACAATATATACCCAGTGACCTGTAACCACATGTTCTACATACAGTGAACTTTAAATGGGTCTCATATTTGCCTTATGGATAAGATCATATAGAATCAAAGCATTCAAAGAAAGCGCCCAGTTCAAGAGTATGCACATTTATAACAATGGATAACTTAGGGAAAGTAGACAAAATGAATAGTACATGTAGACCAAATGGGGAATAGACCAAATGGCAAGTTGACTTTTTGGAGATTAGACCGAACGATAAGTAGACAAGATGATCATTAGACCATGTGGATAGTAGACGGGCCGGGTGTGGACCATATGGGAATAGACCAGTTGGGTAGTAGACGAACTGGTTGTAGACGAAACAGCAATTCACCACAACAGGTTACACCGTCACAGTCACCTGTTGGCCGAGATTAAGATCCTTGATCCACTAATCTCAGGTAGATTATATAACTTTGTCATTATGTCTATATGGTTTTGGCAAGCAAAAACATTAATTTTTTGCAAATGGCTCATCATACGTGCATACCCATACTCTCTCTATCTCTGTCTGTCCCCCCCCCCCCCTCTCTCTCTCTCTCCAGGGGAAAAATTATTTTAACAATTTTGGGGGCTACTTTTCAACCTTGCTTGCATGTAAATAACACTCTTTAATTTGTTTTGCCTTGAACTCTATGCAAATTTTGGGGGGGCTCTTTTATGACTTTCTGGGGCTTTTCAGGGGCTAATTCGCCCCGAGCCCCTGTGTATTTTTTTCACTGTCTCTCTCTCACACACACTGATGCACATGTACAAACTCTCTCTCATTCTCTGTCTCTTTGTCTCCCCTCTCATTCTGTCTCTCCCTTCCCTCTCTGTTTCACCTTTGTTCAATACTTTCTGTTATCCCTGTTATCCCTTTTACATATAACTGTACTGCCTTGACTTTTAATTTATAATGTTTAAATGTTTGTCTGAACAGAGCCAGAAGGGTGTTAACACTGTGTTAAAGGTAAAGACCAGTATTGGAAATGCCCCAATTCAAAAAAATGAAATGGAAGCTCTTATTACCAATCATGTAAAAGAATATGCTTTGACTAATACATGATGGTACAAAATTTTGCCGGAAAACTGCCTACTAATTGATATATTTGGTAAATTAGTTTATCTACATGGTCTGTGAGAGATAAACGCACGTGTCGCGCACGTGTGCGTATAGTCCCATATACATCTTTCTGTGTACAGTGCTTGTAACTTTACAAAGACTGCCGGGCCAAATTTCTTATCATTTTGATGATTCCAGAACCTTGCAGTACACACCAATACTTATATGCTAGATGATCAACCTTTTCTGATCGATTCCACAACGTTTCTTTCACAATGCAATCACATTACTGGTCTTTACCTTTAAAATATGCAATTTAATGCCCTTTTGGCTCTAAACAGACGACATCTTATATGCCTAGAAGCAAATAAAATCATGACAATGCGGACAGGCTTTCCCATTTACATAATGTGCAGGTACAGTAAGGGACACTTTAGTTATACAGATCAATAACGTTCAGGGAAGTATCACTGTTAATCCTGTATCGAATAGCAGCTGGGGGGTTCGGCACCACTTTGTATACGCATGCACAACACAGCCGTGTGAACACTCTGATGTGCTGTTCAGACAATGAGATGCATACATCAATTGTTGCTAGGTATAACAAACATTATAGCTTGCCCTACCTAGCAACACATAATGTATGCAATTTGCAGAATTATTTGTAATTGGTGAATCAAATAGTTTGTAACAAGGCACTTACAAATGTGTGCATTAAATGTGGATTACATTACGAAAATGGCCTATATGCAACCCTAACCCTTACCCTAACCCTGTAACTTTGATGAAATACAGTCGGAAGCACTTGTTACATGCAGAAGCATGTCTCATCACAGACAGAGATATCTTGGTTACAGTCCCCTACCGATGTATGAGGGATAATCTCTAGTACAATCAGAACATATCTGTAGCATTATGAATGTGATGACATCCGTCTAGCTGCCACACCGGTAGTGTGAACAGCGTGATTCCATGACATTTGCTCCGGCGACAATTGCTCCGCTGTAAATTTCATACACTAATCGAATGGCTAACTTCAACCCTGGATTCAACACTATACCCTACCCTAAACCTAACCCTAAACATAACATAAAACCCTATTGAAACCCTAACCCTAACCCTACATCTTAGACGAAATAAAGCCCGGAGCAATTGTCGCAGGAGCAAATGTCGTGTCACCAACAGCGTTCCAGGGCCTCCGTTCACATACTGCTGCTGCACTGACCTCAGGTCACCTACATGCATGTGAATACTGAATACCATGTTCATATTGTACTGTAAGCCATCATCAGAGATGCCAACTTTTGGAAATCAGAAATAGGGAGGATTTGGAAACGACACCAAATAATGTGCACGTAGCGCACATCTCGAGCGCAGAGCGCCCGACCCATGCAGCTGGGGTCCAGGGCCCGCCTTAGGGCCCTGAAAGCTCTGGGATTCTAGATGCTCTCTGGTGCAATCTGAGCCTTTTACATGTGTATTTAGTTAAATAATTCCCATTAAAAAAAAAAAAACATACAAATTGTACAAAATGCATGATGAATACCTCTTTCAGACTTTGAAATAGATCTACAGCAGGTCTACTGGATACTGGATACTGTATTCGGTCTTATACATGTACTTCTGAGACCATTTCTTGGTCTTCTTTTGCTGATTTTGCTATTCCTTGTCAATATCCACGCATTGTTGGAAACTTTGAATTGTCCTTCGATATTCCACCTCGCGACTTGACTATCTTCAACTCCAGCGGCCGCTCACACATCGCGCGGCCGGGACTGCCGGCCTAGTCCGCAGTGAAATCCCAGTAGGCATATCACATGCAGCTGCAAGGTATGCACGCTGCTGAGCCAATCTTTCGCTGCTCCTTATTTTTTTTGCTTTTACGGTAGCAGCGAACATAGTTGAATTACTACATGCTAAAGTTAGCAGACGATATTTCTCTTTCAATTCGAAGATACTGTTCAGTTCGAAAGTATCATAATATCGGGAGGATAAGGATGGAGATCGTAAGGTCGGGAGTTGGGGTGAAATATCGGGAGTCTCCCAATGAAATCGGGAGGGTTGGCATCTCTGCATCATCTGTAAGCAAACCTCAAGTGCCCACTCCTTGTACACAAGAGAATTGACCAGTTTTTATGTACAGACTTTGCACACAAGAAGAAAGAATGTATTAATTAAGAAACGTACAAGATCAGTGTAAAAAAGGAGTGTGCCTTCATTTTCATTTCAACCATAATTAGAAAATGTACCCCAATTCCTAATTCCTTGAGTAGAGCCTCGATCAGTCGGTTTCTTGCTGTGTCCAGAGCGGCCAAACTAGAGAACCAACTGTAGTCTCATAATGCAGACAATGTTACACACACAAGAGTTTGTGCCTGCAAAGGTTTCTATCGGCAGCGGTGTGAACAGCCCCACCAACTAGCTACACCGAGGTATAGTTACTACGTTCAATGTCATCTGATGCAGCTTCCAAGCAGATGTTCAATGGAGCATTGCAAATTTTTTGAGTGAAGAGTCATTTATTACACCTCCAGTAGGCATCTCGACCTATCCTTGAACTTGGGCGAGTATTTTGGAGGGCAAGGCGAAGAATGACCTTCAATTTCAAAGTTGAGTGGATCGAGGATGGGTACATGAAAGGATACATGGACATGTGTGTTTGGAAACACTGGGGGGGGGGGGGGCCACTATGAGAGGAAGGGATGGATGGATGGGGAGGGGGGTATTTAGGAGGGCAAGATGAACAATGACCATCAATTTCAAAGATGAGTACATTATTACGGAGGGATACAAGGTAGGATATACATTAATAGCCATTAGGCCTGTCCTCATCCTCATTGGCTTGAGTTGGCAACAAATGGTAATACTGTACAATGTGCAATGGTGATGCATCTGTAGAGAACTGAGAAACAGGCGCTATGCTATGGAAATGTACATGTACATTGTATGTAGGTCTCAACTACAGGGATATGCTAGTCTCATCTCAAAGCTGAAGTAGTTATACAGCTGAGCCAAGAGAGAGAGAGAGAGAGAGAGAGAGAGAGAGAGAGAGAGGGGGAGAGGAAGAGAAAGAGAGAGAAAGAGAGAGAGAGAGAAAGAGAAAGAGAAAGAGAGAGAGAGCGAGAGAGAGAGAGAGGGGGAGGGAAGAAGAGACAGAGAGAGAGATACACCAGTTTACAGTTGTGTGCGCCATTTTAAACAAAGCCAATGACCTAGAGGTCATGTATTTATGCGTAAATTAAGATTGCGCCCATGCAAATTTTGATGATATCACTGCCTACGCGCTGCGTTGTGCGCGCACATCAATATTTGCATGGGCGCAATCTTAATTTACGCATAAATACCAGAGGTCAGAGGTTATTGGCCCTGAATTCAGGGCCAATATGACCCGAGGTCAACTGTCTGCGCATGCGCACTGATACAACTGTAAACTGGTGTATTGAGGGCGAGCAATAATATTTGAACCGATTCCTTTATAAGCAGGTAAACTGACTGCTACATTCATTGTGAAAGCTGAGATTTGTTTTCTCATCGTTCTATTGAGAATAGCTGGTGGAGATGGGAAATTACTGTGAGTGCTTGGATCAAGGCTGGTGAAACCAAGATGCAGTCTTTGCCAGCTGCTGTGAATCATCATCATCATACTAAACCACACAGCATCATTACACCGAGATGACAAATACAACAACATCATCCTCAAGGCAAGTTCACACGAAAAGAAATTTATGCGCAAAACGTTCAGAAAGAAATGATTTTGAGAAGTAATGGAGGACTCATTCAATAGACTCTCAATCCAAAGGTTGGGGGTTCAAATCCCTGTAACTGATGTCTAAACTCGCCACTCTTGTCGCAGGTGTACATGGAAACGATATTGTAAGGAGAAGTAATGGAGGACTCGTGGTACAGTGGTTCATTCAATTGACTCTCAATCCAAAGGTTGGGGGTTCAAATCCCTACCCAGTACTAACATCCAACTAGCCACTCTGGATGACACAGGTGTACATGTAAATGGGTACCTGGCTATTGATAGGGAAATGATAATTGCAGGGCCTTCAGTGTAAACAAAACTATCATTTATCATTAAATGGAACTCTTATAAAGAAATAATGTCTAAAGATTCATCTTGAAGCCCAAGTAGTGTGTTTATATTCAAAGAAACAAAAATTGATGGCTGCCTGAAAGAAGGTCATAAGTTACTGTCAATGGCAGTAATGCCATAAAATATAGTTAGTAGAGGGTAACTGATATATCTATATCCATGTATGCATGTATGTTTACCTTCAGCAGAGATGACAACTGGTTAATCATCAGTGCATACTCACTTTATAAATCTCACATAATTATTCAGTGTTTGTACTTGTAATACAACATTCAACGTAGAAGTAGATCCTGATTCTTCATCAAGTCATCATTTGAAAGTTGAATCAATGCTCGAACATCTGATTTGACGTTTAGTTACCAGCTGTTCAGACATGAAAAAAACATAATTACTTAACGTATACAAACGCTGTTCTTATACAGCTATACAATGAGTTTGGTTGTCTGAATGGGGCCGACTCTAATGATGCATGAACACAAGTGGGAACATTGGGGCTTTCACACGACACAATTACACCCATAAACCATCTTCATTAGATGTGAACCTGTGGGATTCAAGTAACAGGTGTAGGACTGAGAGTAAAGACTGAGTCTCACCTGTTGCTCATATGCGCTGCATGCAGTTGTAAAGCAATTGACATTATCTCCTTATTAAATGGGCATGCATGTAATGGGTGTTCATGTAATGTACATGTATAATGGCAAATCCAATCTGCTTTCAAAAGATGCAAATTGCACAGATGAGTGATCTTATTTAGATGTGAACTGTAATAGTCTTGTATTAATTTATAGGAGAGAATGTATTAAAGATGTTCATGCGAGGGTATAGTCGTTTTTTAAGTAGGCAACGTGGCGATAATTACCCAACACTGAGCCAACGGGTATTACGCTCCTGACGTACGTCCATGTGCTGCCCTCTATATACCCATGCGTGAGTAACTTTAAAGCTAATCTGTTGCTTACACGAGGGCTACATACATTTATAAGCCTCCTTGCTCAAAAAATATGGTGCCAATATGCGGGATAAAAGTTATTCAATAATGTGACTATTTCATCTTAGTAAATAATGGACAGGGTTCTTTGGTAGTTATTTTTGTGCCTGTACTATGTGTGAGAATGTGAAAGAGAAAATAACTAATTGAAGGAATTCTAAAGGTATGAGTGATTTTAGGTATTAGAGTACTCACTATTATCAAATTTTTGCAATTTTTGGAGGCAGATCAAAACCAAAACATTCATCAGATTTCCCTCCTGATCATCTGATCCGATCATAGCTGTTAACTTACAAGGTTACCCTGTGTTATGCATTATATGTATGACTGACAAGGGCTTACGCCTGCAGACTGTGGGTTTCCAACGAAGAACATGTGTGTAGATCGTATCTTGGACATCATTCGTTTATCTCCAGTATCAATGTCCTATCTTCTAATTGAAAGTAAGTGAATGTGACCTGGGATGAGGTCGTCCTCTCTCGCCCAATCTAAATACTAGCCCTAAAATGCTTTAGCCTTGTGCACTTTCCATTTCGTACTCCCACAGAGATACAGAGTGAGGAGATGCAAGGGAGGAGGGATGGAGGGAGAGAGAGAGTGTAAGAGGGTGAAGGGAGAGAATGAGAGAGTGAGAGAGAGAGAGAGAGAAAATGAGAGAGAGAGAGAGAGAGAGAGAGAGAGAGAGATAGAGAGAGAGAGAGAGAGAGAGAGAGAGAAGAGAGAGAGAAGAGAGAGAGAGAGGATAGAGAGAGGAGAGGATGGAGAGGGAGGGATGGAGAGAAGGGTGGAAGGAGGGAGAGAGGAGGGATGTGTGTGTGGGGGTGTGAGGTATAGAGAAATTAATGAAAGCAAAGGAGATACAGGGAATTTTAAAGGAGGAATGAGAAAAAAAGGAATGATTGATTAAGATTATGAAGCAGGATGAACAAGACCAAGACACATGTACAGGTGTAGATAGAATGAGTTGGAGAATAAAAGAGAGAGAGAGAGAGAGAGAGAGAGAGAGCATACATAGAGAGAGAGTGCAAAGTGGTGCAGAGAGAGAAAAAGAGAGATATATTGACGAAAAGTGAATACGGTAAGGGAGAAAAAGGAGAGGAAAAGAGAGAATGAACAAAATTAAAAAGAGAGGAAGATTTAAAGTGAGAGAGCGGGGGAGGATAAAATAGGCAGTGCAACATTGCAGAAGTTGAAACGCAAGCGCGCTGATTTATATACCAATCCATCGGCAGTCACATTGCCTAATCACTGAAATGCTCCCATCATTCATGTTCGGGAATGTGATTTGACGCGACGCTCCATCACATGACTCACAGACTATGTTCAACCCATGATTCCATTCAAAACTCCCATTAAAATAGCAAGGAGGATAGAAGAAGAAGAAAAAAAAAGCAGAAATAAGAGGATAATATAATGGTCTGGTTATCATTTATGATGCACCATCCTTCAAAATATGTGGAATTTGAGGTCAGGGAAATCTACCATTTTAAAGTAATATTGAGAAGCGGTTCAATTGTGGATTGAACCATTGAATAAATATCTGATTTACTTTAAAAATCATGGTAGTGTTTATAATATGTAAAACTGATATGTTAGAGTTTTGAAAGCAAAATGTGCTTATTTTCCCTTGATTTTAAATGTTTGGTAGACCCCCATAGAAAAATTCTACCATTTAATATCACACTATTTAATGAATATGATATCCTTTTTGGACAATATCGTGACATTCCAATATCTTCAAAATTCCATGAAGTCCTAGTTAAATAGTTATTATTGGTCATTATTTGACATAATTTAATATCTTTAAAGGTGTTTGGTCTCTGTAAAAAAAAAATTCATGTCTTTTGCAAGAAACTGTTCACAGAAACAAATATTTGAAATGCATAGAGTTATCCCAAAATAAAATATGCACACAATGACAATGGTATACAGATATAGCATCCTTTCAATGTATGCCACATACACTATAGGCCTATATGCACTGCATATTACACAACAATATATACATTACCATGTCTGTGATTTATGGTTCTTGGTCAAGTTTCTGTGCATGTATATCCTTGGAACTTAAACAGGTATCCATGGTGTTCACATTGCCAAAATATCCCTTTTCACTCTGAGGCTGCGATAACATTGTGATGCAATAGTCCAAGAGAGAATTTTCGCAAATAAAAACTAGTTGTTGGATGGTGTACTGTATGTATCAAGTAGTATCCCATCCTGTGCACTGCCACTCCAGCTACCAGAAAACATCTGAGTTATCTGTCGCTCCCATAATGTGAATTAATGAGACCAGGTCGAGAACACATTATGACCCTGGTCTGGGGTCTGGGCAAGTGATCCAGGTGAAATGATTAGCGCTGGTCTTGTGGAATCTATTTCATCAGGATGGGGGTGGGGTGGGGTGGGGTGGGGTGGGGTTGGGTACAGATCGTTGTTTGAGGCTGGTGGAAGTTAGAGGGGAAGGGGACCAGGTCGAGAACACATTATGACCATGGTCTGGGAGCCAAAAAACAATTAGCACTGGTCTTCTACTCATCCTTTCCAGTGAAAAGGGGGAGAAATCAGTGATCGATGTTGGTGGAAGAGGACAGGGAGGGATGCAGGATTTGGAAGAGAGGGCACAGAGGGAGTGGTGTCCACAGCTGGTCTAACATAGGGAACAGGGTACTGGTCCATGGTACAGGTCAGTGGAAGGTATGTGTGTGTGTGGGGGGGGGGGGTTGCAGGGGGGGGGGGGGGTTGCAGGGGGAGGGGTTGCAGAGGGAAGGGTCTCTTTGCTGGTCTCACAGAATCACAGAATCCTTTCATCCGGGTGGGGTGAGCGGTGGTGGAGGATGGCTTAAGATGATAGGGGGTGCCGAGGGAGGGGTATTAATACTGGTGGAAAATTAGTTGGGTTGGGGGGGGGGGTGCAAAGAGAGGGGTGTCAATACATCTTACAATTATAAAATCCCTAGAAAGCTCAAAGAATACATCAGGGGTTGGGGGGGGGTACACATTGAACGTTGTGCTGGCTTGTAGCCAGGGGAAATTGTGTTGGGGAGAGGAGAGGAGAGGAGAGGAGGGGAGGGGAGGGGAGGGGAGAGGGAGAGGAGGGGAGGGGAGGGGAGGGGAGGGGAGGGGGAGGGGAGGGGAGGGGAGGGGAGGGGAGGGGGGGGGGGGGGGGGGGGGGGAGGGGGGGGGGGAGGGGAGGGAGGGGAGGGGAGGGGAGGGACAGGGGAGGATTTGATGGTTCCATCTTATGGAATACATGTATGTACTTCGATTCATATGAGTAAACAATCAGGGTGGAAATAATAAACTTAATCATCACACTACAACTAATAAAATGCAAACTATATAAGGTACACCAGATACCTGTAGAGAGATCAATTCTGGTGACGGAGATACCGGTATAAAAAAGATACTGATAGATGAGATAGAGGTGCAAGGTGTATGAGCCATACACCCATTTATACAGGTGAATATAATATATATAATAAGGAACCCTCCATGAATTTGAATGAATAAATATAAAATGTTGGTTTGCACTATTAAACACAAGTCAATGAATGTGTAGGTCAGATATACAAGTACATAAACATGTACACATCTTAAGTCAATCAAAGTTGGGAATATCAACAACAAAGGAAAATTTATGAGAATTGATGAATTATGGAATGAATTTATGTATAGACAGTGAAAAAAATACACGGGGGCTCGGGGCGAATTAGCCCTGAAATGCCCAAAATAGCCCCGAAAATCAGAAAAGAGCCCCTGTAAATTTGCATAGAGTTCAATGCAAAACAAATTTTAGAATGTTATTTTCATGCAGGCAAGCTTGAAAAGTAGCCCCCGAAAGATAAATATTAATTTTTTCCCTGTGTATAGATAAATAAATAAACAAACAAACAAATAAACAAACAAACAAATAAATAAATAAATAAATAGTACACTGAACATTCTGTGTTACAACCCAAACAATCACATTTTTTGTCAATAATGCAGTTTCAATAAATACACAGGTGACCCTTACATGTGTACATGAACATGTAACATTCCTGTGCGCAAATGAATCCCTGCATATCTTTTGAGAGATATGACAGGAAACGAGAACAGATGCAAATGGACCCTCATTAATTCATTTTCTAAGATGTAGGTCAGCGCTGTATGACCGGTGTCCTGTCATCAGACACCAGTGATTGGAGCGCGATGACGAATGCATTACGCCAAAACACACACATGGGGGTTAGGTTGAAGAATCAGACCTTTATAGCAGACTTTGAACTTGAGCCATTAGTCATCACCATCCTACTAAAGAAAAAGGGAGGGAAGACCTTTGTTTTTGTATTGCAGCTATAAAGCTATAACCAAAATCTGGCATATTTTTTTAGTAATCTTTATAAAAATGCCAAAATTACTTTAAAGAATAAGACCTGTAGCCCACTTTGAACGATTCAGTTGAAGCCAAAATAAGCATCATACTACCGAAAAAAAAGGAACATGTACATGTATACAGTGCATTTATAAAGTATGTATTCCCAGACTTGCTTGTTATGCTATTATTGTATTGAAAATAAAACTACCCATGTCTACAGGACTGCCTAATGTTTGTGAAACAGATACACCATGAAATAGGATACACCAAGATGAATAAGAATATGAAGAACGATATTTGGAAGAAATTTATTTTTTAACAAAATCATTTTCTAAAGGATTCAAGGACAAATGCAGACCTTTTCATCAACTTTCTTCCATTTATTTTCTGGGTAACTTGGCATAAAAACTCAGATTCTACAGAAAATGTTATCCTTCTAGATTGAGTGAGAGATTGAGACTTGCAATAGCTTTGAGATGGACATTGTTCAAACTTTGGAAAGTGGGCCATGGGGATACTATGCATATCACCTACTTTATCTCAGTAACCGAAGTGGAAAGCATTTCTCACGTTACGAAAACATGACGAGAGCGTTGATATGATCAATGCAATGAAAATGTCTCACTTATTTTTAGTCAACAGACAACATGAGAATCACATCCGACTTGCAATCTGCACATGCATAGACAGGTTTTAAAGAGAAGGTTGAGTTCTGGGGAGAGGTGAAGAATAATTTGTGAGGGTTATCGTTGTTTATTATACGCAAGTGAGGAGGAACATCAGAGAAAAAAAATCTACCCTAAAGATGAGTTAACACCCTTCTGGCTCTCAACAGACCAAGACACACTTAGGCTGCGTTCATGCTTAAATTTTGAAGGCAGAATGAGCGATCTGAAACGCTCATCGTAAACGCTCATCGTGATCGCAGTTCCACGATGTAGTGTTCATGCTTACTTCTCTGGCTCCCCAGGCAATTCTCCGTGTGTGGCCTTAATTGGTCTTCAAGCTGGATTCGCAAACCTTCACTGTGCATGCTACGTAGACCCACTAGAGGTCAGTGTGTTGACCCCATTTAAACGCGTTTACAAATTGTAAACGCATCTTTTTGTGAGTTTACGATCGGCGATCGTGATCGCCGTTTTTCGGTGATTCTACAAAAGTGAGCTAAGACGCAACG